CCTTTAATGCCTTGGGAAGTTTGTAACGTCTTTGGAATTAGTAGATTCGGTCTATTGCGACAAAGTTCAGATGGATGTATTCGCATGAATGGTCATTCCAACTCTGTCAGCGTTCCACTGGTTGCCATTTGTTGGATATCCGTTGTGGTCTGTTCGGACTTTTCACTAGGTTATCGTGTGGTATGTCCCACTGTCGAAATATAGTATAACCTTCCTCCAGGTTGTTCAATTTGTATGTTTGTCCATTCCTATTTAGCAACAGACGAGTGGGTAATCCCCGGCGATATGCAACTTGATGCTTTCGAAGGGCTGTAAGGATAGGGTTTAGAATCCGTCAGTTCGCCAAAGTGGTGGGCGATATATCAGGAAAGATATGGATATGCGCATATTTGCCTGGCAATTCCTTAATAGATCTGCTGGCTATCAGGATGAACTCTTTAATATGGTGGTAATGCACTGTAAGAAGTACGTCTCTTGGTGCAGTTTGCAGCGTTGCTCGTGCTTTCGCCACTCAGTGTATTGTGTCTAGGAGGAACATCTCTGTCTGACAACATATCTGGGCACATTGTACGAAACAATCCTGTGGCATACGATGTCTGGTCTCTCACTGCCGTGGTCTCTTGTATTCCGTGGAGACTTTGTTTCAGCGTGAGCGATTGAGGTCGGTAGGTTTAACTTCATCTGAAGCTAAACATTCTTCCAAGAAGATAGAAAGATGGGTGAGTGAGCAATAAAAACTAAATATAAACCAAGTGCAGGCTAGGTTCTGTAAATTGGACACTCCAAATCCAATAGACAAAAAGGTATATACAAACAGGGCACCACAATCACTAAATCAGTATATGTGAGGGGAAGAACCATATACATAAATATATATGAGATATCTGATATCTAGATAAAAATAGTAGTTTATTGATACAGAATTAATAGAATAACAGCACAATAATAAGTGCCCAAACATATAATAAACAGGAACCCATAGGTATAGCAGCTCACTAATACATAATGCTGAACTGGGCAATAAAGTGCAAATGCTAAAGTGCTAAGACCGTGTTAAAGTGCAAATGCTCAAATACAAAGTACTAGTACCAAAAGTGCACCAAGCCAATGACATATGCATACAGATAGCCCAAAGAAAAAAAGTAGACAGACACAAACAATAAAGCCGCTGATACCACAATGCAGGGTCCCAAATAGTACTCAATGCTCAACGCGTTTCGTCGTCAGACTTCCTTAGGAGCTTCTTCCATCTTCTTCCTTTTAAATCTGCCGGCTTCCGTGATTGCGCATGTGTCCATGCGTCACCACGCATAACGTCATGACGCATACGTGGCCGCTATGCACATGCGCAACCACGGCGGACCGCAAATAAACTTTATTGTTCATGTACACGGTAGCATTAAGAGCGATCTATAAAAAGAACGCTCTACAAAGATGCAGACCGGATTCACAAAGCCTGCCTACCCCACTGCTAACCCCTAAACAGAGGAATACTAAATGTACAGAGGGGGAAATATAAATTAGACAAGTGGACAAAAGGAAGAAAAATATGGAAAAAATGTCAAATACAAAACAATGAATAAAAGATATCAAAAATATGCAAAAAATGTATATTAAGGATAAAAAAAAAATAAGTCCATTTATATTTCCACAATATCCATCATAATAAGAATATACATAGACCTTACAGTGATAGAACATCTATATGATAATACCAATATAGATGTACATAAATGAAAAAACATATCCGGATGTGGACAAATGTATAAATCATCATCCAATTTATCTAGATATCAGATATCTCTCATATTTATGTATATGGTTCTTCCCCTCACATATACTGATTTAGTGATTGTGGCGCCCTGTTAGTTTGTATAAACATTCTTCCATTCTCAGCATTTGGTCATCCACTGAGTTGTGAGCAGTGGCAAACTCGTTCATTTTGGTTTCTTGGTGCGATGTACGGGTGCCAGGGTCCTGAATTTCTTTTTTCAGTTCTTATCTGAAGGATTGAAAATTGGAAATCAGTTGGTTAGATTGCGTGTGGAGCATTTTTTTTTTAAAAGCATTGAAGGGGTCAGAGAAACTTCACCATTCCTCTGGCCGTACAGCATGGGGCTAGATTCACGGCTTTCCCTACCTTGCCGGCCGCCATCTTGTAAACTTCCTGCGTTGCCTGCAGTTTAACCTGCGTTTTGGCCGAAAAGAAGAATGTATACCCTAATCTCTTCCCTTTGTGATGAGACATCTAATCAAGAGTGTAGTTGGTATGTTGGATTTTACCGGCTGTTATGCATTCAGATCCATCCACCTGCCCCGAGCTCAGCTCTTTTGGGGCCATTACGTTCATTGTCGGCTCCACCCCAGCTGCTGTTTATTTTTAAGTCTGATTTGCCCTAATCTGAAACCTCATACTTATTATAAACCTCAACGTAATTTAATCCTAGCCCCAAGAGTTTCCCTCTGCTGATATCAGTAGGGATATTAGTAAAGGGAATTTAACCTAAAACAAATGTTACTGCCATTTACAGGTAATTTTCAGTATGGCAGGCATATACATGTTGTATAGAAAATAGTATGCCAATGCATTGTCATCTGGCATTTAAGGAGACTCTGGAGAAAATCACTTTAACTTGGTAACGGTGATTTGAATGCCTGTTTGCTTTGCTCACTTTGAGGCTTGCAATCAGAGCATCAATCTGGGGCCACTTATTTTAGCTACAGCTGACAGAGGGGAGCCCCAGAAATCAAGTCAGCAGGGAAATGGCTCCAGCTGGTAAAATACTGCATGATGCAATTATTCTGTCATGGGTTAAGGTTAATTCCGTCATCCTCTAGATTGTAAGCTTGTTTGAGCAGGGTCCTAATAAACCTATTGTTCTTGTAACATTTTGTAATTGATTACTACATTTCAGCAAAATAAGTTGGCGCTCTATAAATGGTAATAATTGGATCTCAAGAAGTTAAGCATAAACCAAAGATTTGCCAATGACAATGAATGCCAAAAGGCCACGTAAAATAAAAATTGGAAGGTAAATGCTACTTGACCTATCTGTCCTCAGAATAGAAAGACACTCAGGAGCTTAGGGTGGTGCTGCACTTTGTAAGGCTAGGGTTAAGAAGTGTCCTTTTCAGTGCTACCTGTTCTGGGAGAGAAGAATTGCTGCTTGGATACATGGAAGAACAATTTTGGAATAATTTAAAAAAAAATCTCCTCCCCCCTACTAGTAAATTATTACACTTCTGACACATATAAAATATATATTACATTTCTGATCATTGTTTCACATTCACTACAGGTGCTTCCTCGTGTATACCTAGCAAAATTATGGGAATAAAACAATAACGGCATTTGATTGAAGGAGTATAGATGTTGGCCGAGTATGCATATATTTTTTTCATTCCAAACACACCTGGAAACAATGTAATTCTCCATCAGCTTCTCTTAAGAATTCCACTAAGGTCAGACTTAAGGACAGCAGTCACAAACTAACTGCTACCCAGGAGTGTTATTCAATCCAATCTTGAAAAGTCCTTGAATACTTACACCCTGGTGCTGCCCATAATAAAAAGAACCCTTACCTCTATACTAATCCTTTTATTCTTAAATCATGTAGTGTAAAAGATGTAATGTAAATTCATATTTTACAGCAACGTTCTCCATAACCCCATGGAGTTATTTTCCTGTACAATAATCTTCATGACCTGAATTATTCATTGTTTTTGAACACTAGTTAAGGATCAATTTAAACCTAGTAATTATGAAAAAAGTTTCACAGGCAACTTAGTTTACCACTGAAATTAATACTTAATTTTAAACAAGGAGCCCTTGTACTCAGGATCCCCTAATAGCAAAAGAAGTTAGTATTAGCTCCCTTCTTTTTCATAAACTACCTAGAAGACAAATTAAACTTGGTGTAACATTTGCATGTATAATACCTGGATAGGAAGGCCAAACCAGTGTCAAGAGTGAGACAGTACTAGATAGGAAGCATGTTGGCCTGCTAAAATGCAGAATTGCTAGCCAACAGCGACATCATAGACACAGTGCTGCAGGAAATTCAGCTTTATTTTCACTTGCCTATACTGCATCAATTTTCCTTTCCTTGATCCTTGAGGGCCTGTGAATATTACTAAAACTTCGAGATTTTTTTACGGTCTTCTGATGTCCCTTTCATTTTCAGATAATGTAGGAATTTTTAACTTACAATTTGCTCAATTAGGTCACCCCTTTTTGCAAGCTTTCAGTCTTTTTTCATCCACAGGCAAAAGGTGAATAGCCTGATATTTACCAAGAGCTCATGTATTTAAAGGATAAAAAGTAGTCAAACTAGAAAAAAAGTATTAAGCTATGCTATTCTAGTCTTACATTTACAATAGCCTAGTGAATCTTGACAAGAACCAATTGCAACAAATCTTCAACTGTCCTATTTTTGCCTAAAATTTAAATTATCTGGTTAACTTCCGACAATTCACAATTTAATGTTTGGCAACTATGGCTCGACTGGGTCTCTTGCATATTATAGATGAAGGGGGTAAAAAAGGCCATAATTTTTTTTTTGCTTTTTCCTGCCATCCATGCAGTTACTATTGGCTTATGAGAAAGTTTAGATTTTCCCCCTTGTACAATGAACTTCTACTTACCTGCAGCTATTTGAATCAGCATCGTCATTCCTGGAGTTCCGTGGTTTTACATTATTGTAACACCCCCCACAGACATATGAATTTCATTGCCAGCACAGAGTTAGTGCTGTCCACACTTATGCCTGCTCTGAGAGTTTCAGAGTGCCAGGGAGCAATATAGCCACGTGCAGGAAACTTCTCTTGCTCCCTGCCTCTTAGTACTTACCATTTGACTCTGTGTGTCACCAGGACACAACGGTGAATGCAGTGGATTTGATTGCTATGTGGAGATGGGCCCAAACACCAAAGGACATTAAATACATTTCTATACATTTGCGATAATTTATGCTAGCACAATGCATAGATTTATTTGACACGTACACTTTAATACTGCAATAAAAACACTGACTTCTAACTTAGGTAGAGTTCAAATTATCAATCTTTGGAAAAGGCTATAACCAAACAAAAAAATATTGTTGGAGAATCATGTAAGTCTATGTGACTACCACCGGCGAGGGTGACAATTACCAAACATCCACAATGTATGTTTTAATACAGACGAGCAGGCATTTCTGTTGACATGATTGTATAATAAAAAAGGGAGGTATCGTGGTTATTATGAAGAGGTCACCATTAGACTTAGAAGCCCTTTGGTTACCCAATTACCTTGATATTGCAGGAAAAGGACTGAGGATCCCACTAACACTATATAGATTCTGTAATAATTAACAAAAGACACTGCTTAATGTGGTGAAATGCTGGCTTTATTCTACATACATAAGGTATGGCAGGACACAATAAGATGGATTGTTACCTCCGGACAATTAATTCTAGAGTGTCCTGTTGTGCTTTAAACAGCCTTTATATGATATAGCACATTCAGAAAAGTTCACGTGGGTTTGTTCTGAAAAAGGTTCGTTTAAACCTTTAAAGCATGGAATCAATCATTTTAGGGTAAAACAAATGGGAGTTGCAGAGCATTATGGGTCAGTAAAAGAAGTGTTTGGTTTCAATGGCTGCTTATCAGAAAATTAAAAAACAACAACAAAAAAAAACATGGCAACTCTAAAATACATTCTTCAAAGAATTAAAAGCAAAAAACTGTTGAGTCCCGGAACTTAACATGGATATTATAAACGTTTCTGTTTTACAGACTAAACATATGCTTAAGCACTGCTGTCATTATATATATATATATATATATATATATATATATATATATATATATATATATATATATATATATATATATATATATATTTTAAAACTACCACTTAAACAGCTTAATGACAAGATTTTAGTCCAAATTACTGTATCATGGCTATATAGGGAGGTCTTCTGTTGTGAAAGGTTTAAATTTGTTTAAATTTTTTTTTGGGGGGACAACTTAAATTATGCGTATTTTTAATGAAAAAACAAGCAAACACTTTCATTAAAGAAAGGGAAAAAAAACTTAAACCTAAAGCACGTTTATGTTTAATTTACGAACACAAACATTTTGTACAGGCGGAATGCACATGGAAATGATATAGTACAGCTGGTTTTGCTTACTTCATGAATGATATTAATTTGCAAGGTGATGTACGGATGTGTTTAGTAAATATGTCTTCTAGCCTGCCTCATTATACAGAGCAATAAAAGAAATGCAGAAAACTGTATAGAACAGGTGAACATAAAAATTAGACCTAGATACAAACTGTGTACTACCAGGGCACTGGAGTCGGATAAAGCACATGAAAACATCAATACCCACTCCATTCCAGAGAATGCACCAACCCCGATCGAGAGCCGCAGCTGCTACTACTGAACAGGTGTGAGAGCACTTCAAATTAGTTTCATGGGCAACAGGACCTGAATTATTTTCTAATTCAGGCACTCTGTTATCTTGGGCAACATACTACTCTGTTCAAAGGGAATAAGCACAAGCAGGTTATGTAAACATAAGGGTTATTTAACGACAGAAACTTTCTCTGAGGTTCCATCACCGGAGCAGGTAATTGCATACAAAATCAAGCCTTTTTACTGCAATCATGAAAATTATTTTAGCATCCTAGGAAAACAGAGAACTCGTTTAATTTCACTCAGGGGAGTTTATTTATGGTATCAGAATGCAACAGCCCCCTTAAAGGAAAACTGTCAAAAAAATCTATTTTTTTTTTTTAAATTACCAGTGAAAATAAATAACATGTAATAAAGACAAGTTATGTAGACTTCAATAATGAATTTATAATTTAATATCTTTTAGATCTCCCTTTTGTTTTCTAAAGTGCTACAAATTTCCCTGGTTGTACTATAGATTACATTAAGATTTTCCTCTCTATCACAGCACTTTAATGTCAGTTTTTGTGTTCTCTTACAACCCCCCACTAATAATAATATAAAAAAAATTAAAAAAAACAACAAATAACATCAAAATTTCACTTCAAGTTTCTTTGTTTTTTTTTTTTAAACAGTTTTCTACATTTAGAAAATCTCACTTTTTAAGGTTTTTTTAAATCAGGCTAAGCAGCTATGTTGGGTTAGATTCTACCATTATCTGACCAACTGCTTCTCAACCTAACTTGACTGTTGCTGTGATTGCTCCGAACATCATTAAAAAAAAAATAAAAAAAAATGCATATGTAAAACTTAAAAACAAACAATCCAAGAAGTGAAGACTTGATGACAGTTTAAAAGAGACACAAATAACTTTTTCAAAGAAGAGTACAACGCTGCAGGTCTAAAACAAATTGTGCATGTTGGTGCAAAATAGTACTGTCCCACTGGCTCACTCACAAAAAGCTATGGAAACAAAGACAAATAAGGATTTTTTAAAAAGGCAAAAAAATTAAATGGAAATCTAATGAAAAACATTTGAGAACAGATGCATTCTACAGTAAAATTTTTGCAGCGCAAATTACAGTAACAGTGGAAAGATATTATCATTAAAACAAACCAATGTTTTATCAAAAGTCACTGCAAGACAACCACACAATCATGTTTTGGTGGGATAGCATTAGTTGTTACATTTTAGCTATGCTCTTTTTCAGCATGTAGTGGACATCTCTACTGTTATGTATTTACTTAACCTTGCGTTCATTCACTTAGAAGATACATAATCTAAGACAAAAAGAGAATCCCTTTGTGAGCGTAAACTAAAAGTTACATGTGATCAAACCAGAGTGGAAAAAAAAAAATATAACACATTGTTTAAAAATACAAAAAACTCAGAGGTTTAATTTAATTCATCTACAAACATGGTCACTAAAAAGATCAGGAAAAGTAATTCATAGTTTGCATGACCAAAAGTTAAAATATGGAGGTACTTTCAAATATTCATAAAATAATAAAACAAAATTTACATACTCATCGAGTAGACTGCCAAAATCTCAAAGAAAATAAATGGTAAGAGAACACAAACCACCCAAATCTATCCTACTCACTCTACCACCAAACACTTGCTGTATACAAAACTTTACATGCCACTGGTTCAAATAAGGGCTATACTTTTATGGTTTATAGCTACACCACCAGAACTCTATGGGCCACCTAGTGGTTAATTCACAAAAATGTCAGACACTTGACAAACCAATGTGAAACCACTTCTAGATCAAATTATATTTTATCCAAAATATAGACCAAGCAGTATTTATAGTGTCAAAAAAAATAAAAATAGTATAATTCAGTAACACAAGGTGGTGGAACATAACAAGGGGTGGGTTTTCTTAATAGGTCAGACAATCAAACAGCACAATGCTGTGAATGCAGACAGATTTTTGAGGACATTGCATGTTTTGTGTGCTAACATTACAAAGTTTAGAGACAAACATATTATTACCACTTGTACATATCCATAACTCACTCAAACCAATGCAGGATTAGCAAACAAATGGGAGGGGGAGATTTATAAAGATAAATGATGGCCATAACAGCTAAGGGTATTGAATCCTGCTTTGATGAAAAATTTCAGATCTACATACGCTTTTCTGAAATATGTGAAAACAAGAAGGGCAGAGGTAAGGCTAACAACTTATCTCTGACTAGTAATTTAAACAGAAATAACCAACACAGATGTTAATCTGCTCTAGTAGTCTCTATTGAAACAGCTGTAACCATCGGATCTCCTCACGTCTTCCCGAACATATGGCTGATTGTATCGTGATGAAAGATATGGAGGGCATAGTAAGCTACTCCTTGTTCCAGATCCCCCTGAAAGGCGCTCGGATGAAGAGTAGCCACTCAATGTTCCAGATCCCCTCGAAAGGCTTCCGGAAGAAGAGTAGCTACTGGTTGATGAGAGACCTGTAGTTGATGAATAACCCCCACCTAATGAATAATTTTCAGAAGATGAAAAACGTCTAGAAGGATAATCTCTTGAAGATGAAAGACCTCCAGATGACGAATAACCTTTGGTTGATGAAAACGGTTTAGATGAAGAGTAACCTGAAGTAGATGAAGAGTAATCTGAAGTAGACGAAAGACCACCAATAGATGAATAACCTCCAGTTGACGGAAAACTACCAGCAGTTGAATAACCTTCAACTGACGGAAAACTACCAGCAGTTGAATTCCCTCCAGCTGAAGGAAAACTACCAGCAGTTGAATTCCCTCCAGCTGAAGGAAAACTACCAGCAGTTGAATTCCCTCCAGCTGAAGGAAAACTACCAGCAGTTGAATACCTTCCAGTAGATGAAAAGCCCTCAAACGAAGTAGATTTGCGACTGTTCCACATGGAATCCAATTCAAAGGGCATGGAGAAGGAAGGCAACATGGAATTTAATCTGTGGGGAAAAGTATTGGGGGGGAAAGAGAGAAAAAATACAATTATTTTATGTACCAACAGGTGAAATGCCTTAAATTATTAAGATTATGAAAAAGATAAATTGAGCATGACCTCAAAAACACAAGTGGCAAAACTCTTCATCTAAGAACATCGCTGACCAGGGGAGAAAGAGAGAAGGTGGTGGAGTCACAAATAATTGTCGTGCTAGAGGACTTTTAGGAAATTAACCACCAGGCAAGATTAACACTAGTATAAATTACAAACAATACTACTAAAAACTGATAGAAACGTTAAAGTATGCAAGCAATTAGTAACTTTCAATCTCCTGATAAATTTCCATTCGAGTGATGAATTAGGTACTTGGGCCAAAAAATACAAAAAGAAAAACAGCAATGCGTGGAATGGTATGAATAAACGTGGTCTGATGGCTGCAGAAAAAGATGCCACTCTTCCATGTGCATTGATGGTTGGCGGGGTCTGCTGAAATTCAGAGGAAATAAACTACAGGCCAGCAGCTGCAGACATTAACTTACTTTGGTCCTCTTTCTGCCATGCTGTGAGAGTAGCTGGGAAGATAGAGACCAAGTGTCTCTCTCTCAAACCCTCACGCAGTACTTGAGTACTGGCAGGGGGCAGAATTCATGGCCTTAGAAGCAAAGAGTTCCTGCCTGCCGATTTAAAACACACATTTGTTGAAGTGGCATGGAAATTAATTAATAGTCCAAATTCCAAAACATTTTACTGCAATTTGACCACGGGTAGTCAAATTTCAGCACAATTTAGGATTAATGATTTATTGTAGACCAAGATGTATCCTATACAATTCTGCATCTGTAACCAGAGCAAACATCTGTTTCATTTTAAATTAAAATTATATATGGTTTACAAACTTCTATGTCATACATACATCCACATATACTTCATAAGTCAAGTTTTTACTTAGTTAAACTTTATTTGCTCAGTTGTTTGCTTGTAATTCAATTTTATAAAAGCAATGGAACACCATAATATACAGGTTTATTAGAGTCCAGGGACTTGCTTTGAAAGTAGTCATTCAAGGGAATATTTTTAAAGCACATAAAAGCACACACAGTATAGGCATCAATAATTATATATAACCACATCAATTGCATACTGATCATCACACACACACACATCCATAGAGAAACGTGCATAGATATCAACATTTGCACACAAATCAAAATATAAATAATTTAGCTACAGTATATGATCATACATTGCATAAGCCTGCCACGTCAATGTACCCTATTTTTTGGAAGGTTTTACTTGACCAACCTAATGTCTGCTCTTATGAGATTAACCCACTTCCAAGGAAAAAAAATAAAGTACAAGGTTAAATAGGGCCCTGGAAAAGATGCAAAGTCAGTAAACCACTCAGTTAATGAAAATTGTCAGCATGAGGATGGTTACTGGTTTGCTTATTGAGGCTTGGTAGTGCTTGGGTAGCAAAATTCAAATAGGTTATGGTGGGGAAAAATTGTGATTGAAAACCCCTTCCACCTACATTTGGTTTTGCATCTTTTACTAAGTTGTGTTTCAAAGCTGTTGTATACAGCTAACACAGATAAAGGAATCCATGTTTAAAATGGAATTAGGCAAAAATGTGATTCTTTGTTAAACTTATTTGCATATGCCCATCCAGAATCCTTTGCTGTAGTAACATCACTGCAGATTTGTGATTTCTGTGAGAAAAGCAAGCCCTATGGCTTGACTGGTGTGCAGTTTTTGTTTAACAATATACACACACACATTATATATATATATATATATATATATATATATATATATATATATATATATATATATATACACACACATACATACATATATATATATATATACACACACATATACATACATATCCTGAGAAAGGTCCCATGCTGGGACTGAAACATCAACCTATTTTGGCACTTTAACATGTGCACATTTTAAGCACGAATGAATAAACGCTGTTTTAAACAGATCTTGAGTGCAGTCTATTACGAATTGTTTTGTAACTACCTGTCGGTTAGATCTTTGAAACTGAACATATGAGTCTGTGTGCAGAAAACTTCCTCCAAGTAATAAAAATGTGATTCTTTTTTGAACTAACTGCAAAGTTTAGATTTCTGTGGAAAAAGCAAGTCTTACGGCTTGAGTGATATGCAAATCTGGGTTTAACAAATTTATATAAAAATATACATTTATATATTTTGGGAGTCTAGGCCCACTCCTTTGTTTTGCACCGCTTCCTGCCTCAGAAGAGTGTCTCATTCTTAACCTTTTACTGCAAAGAGCCCAGATGGAATCTTTTACCCAAGTAAGCGGGTTAATCTCATAAGAGCAGACATTAGGCTGTTAGAGTAGGGCCTGCCAAAGATAGGGTACATTGACACTGTGGCAAGCTTAAGCAATGTATGATCATATAATGTAGCTAAATCCCCATTATTTTTGCCTAGATTAGGTGTTTAAAAAACTGTCAACAGTTGCTGTTTAGTGGATAAGTGAGTGCACTGGATCTTGTTTAATAAAAAAAAAAAATTATTATATATATATATATATATATATATATATATATATATATATATTACACACACACACATACATACACACATATAAATATATACACACACACACACACACACACACAAAATGTAACAAACAAGTGTGCTAAAAAGATGCTCAACAAAAATAAGTTAATTCAAATAAAGTATGTAGTATTAAGTAAACAAAGTATGTTTGCCCTTCCAAGTGAAAACCTTTTCATTTTTAATACCTCAAAAATTAAAAAGGTGTCAATAGAACACCTTAACCCTCACACCAAATTACTCAAATACCAAATATAAGTGAATAATGAAAAACAATTATACAATAATTATTTTATATTCTTTGGTTACATATCAGTTTTTGTTCAGGCATCAAGTTGAGCATGCCAGTACCTGCAATTTAATCTCACAATAATGAAGAGGAGCAAATTCTGAATCTATCACGAATCCCTAAATCACACCACAAAGTTATAGTAACAGATAACTTAGAAGTCCGTTAGATCTATAGCTGATACAGCAAGAACTCAGACTTAAAACATACTACTTGACTAGGTTTTGAAATTGCCTGG